GGGGGGGGGCAAGGACAGAGTGAGAGAGGAGCAGGAGCACTAGCACCCCCATTCTGGCCCATCTGTCTCTTGCTTTAACCGTGCCTGTTCCTTAGCAGCAAGCCACTGATTTAGGAGAAGGGCCAGTTGTGTTCTATAAACAACTGGCTGCAGGCTGGGCCCTCCCCCAAAGCAGAGCACATGTGTGTGATGGGTAAGGGAGTGTCCAGGATTGCTGGGCAGAGCCCAAGACTCCTTGGACTCCCTGAGACTGTCAAGGTCTGCGGCCAGTCTGGCTTTCCTTGGGCCAGAACTGGGCTGGGCAATCAGAGGGCTTCAGCTTAAATCCAGGTGCCTCCACTTACTAGCTGTGTGACCTGGACGGATGACATAACAGTCTGTTTCCTTGCCTATAAAACAGTGAGAACGATAGCTGCCTCAGTGTCAGGAGGATTAAACAGTGTTCTGCGCGTAAAGCATTCAGCACAGGGCCTGGCACACAGTGATTGGCAAGTAGTATTGTTATTAAGTGCTTTTAATATACTTACTATTTCTGAGACCCAGGGATAGGGGTTTGAGGGGCTGGGGTCTCCCTTACCTGCCCAGAGTCCAGGCCTTACCTGATGAGGGGGACATCATCCAGGGTGCAGCAAGTCTTGGGGCCCCCTTGTTCAGCGGGGTCAGGAGAGCAGGACTCGTTGTAGGACCTGGCAGGCAGGACAGAGAGTAGACTGGGGGAAAGAGGTTCTCCCAGCCTGTACCCTCCGGCTTCTCAGAGACTACCCTCCCAGTATTCTCTTGGCAGGGGCAGGAGAGCCCACCTCCCTGAACTGGCCTGAGACAGATGCCAAAGGGGTGAAGGGATGGTGGGAAATAGGTGGATGGGCTTGAAGTCATGCCTGGGGAGGGGCAGGCATTGCCAGTGTCAGCTAAGAGCAGTGAGGGCCAGGGTCTCCAACTGGCTTGCTCACAACAGCCCCGACCCAAGAGGGAGCAGAGATGAAGGGAGCTTTAGAGGGAGGCTGTCTGCAGAGTGCGCCATACCAGTTCTCCACAGGGCATGCGTGGCGGTTCATCACGGCCATGGCATACCTGCGGGAGCAGAACTGTCACCTCACACCCGTGACCCTCCCAGCCCAGCTTTCCCCCCTACTGACTCTTCTCTCTTGATTCTGGCCCCATTCAGCCTCATTGTCCTTGTTGGGGACTCAAGTTGGGGTGGCCTGAGAACTGACACCACATCAGAATAGCATGGCCTCAAACTAGAGGACCTCGGGGTGTCCCTGGCTAGAAGTATGTCAGGGTCGTCATACTGGACAGCGGCGGTGCCAGCTCGCCCGAAGTAGCTCTGTGCCCAGGCACCAGGCCAGGCTTTGGAGACAGCTAGAGTGATCCTGGGTACCACCCCAGAGCCTGCACAGGACAAGGGGCTCTGTGTGTGCCATGAAGCTCCTGTTGGGTCCTGGCTGGGCCCTATCCTCCTCAGCATGGGCCCATTCTGTCCCCCGTTGTCTTCCCCCTTCCTCTATTTACTCACACAGTCCATAGGCCAGTGATAGAGAATGCTGACAAGCTGACAGGAAGGAGGATCCAGGCGGTCATGAGGGAGGGGAGCCAGGGTGGTGGTGGTGTGGGGGGAAGGGCAAGAGGTAGGTGGGAAAGAGGGGGCCGGCCCAGCTACCTTAGGGTACTTCGCCAAAACCATCAGCGGCCCAGGCCTGGTGGAGAGAGACAGGTCAAAGTCCAGGGTCCAGTGACTGGCCAAGGCCGGTGGTGGGCAGAAGGTGGTCCACACCTGATTCACAGCTTCTGCTGGGGCTCTGAGGGCCTACATTTTGGGCTGAGCCCACGCCAACACGTGGACACCTTCTGGCATCCCCCGGGGGCCTCCGCGTTCCACCCGAAAGCCACCGGTGGGCCCAGGCACTCAGGCGGGGCCGTAACATCTGGGGAGGGAGTCGCGCTCCCTCGCCTGCGGGACCGGGCTGGGGGAAGGGTGCGGTTAGGGCAGTCGAGGGGGCCGCGCCGAGGAGAGCCTGAGAGCGGGTGCCGGTCCCGGCGGAGCGGCAGCCACGCGCAGGCAACCACCTGACCGCCGGCGCCCCGGGGGAGAGGTGGGTTCGCGCAGGAAGCGCGGCTCGGCCCCCGCCCGCGTGGGCGCACGGAAAGCGCCCCGGGAGCCGGGGACTCGAGCCTCCCCAGGGGCCCAGTACGCACCTCCCTGGAGCGCCCCGCCGCCTCCGCTCCCTGCTCGGCCACGCTTGGTATGGTCTCTGGCTGCGGCCCTCGGAGCAGCCCTGGAGGGTTTAAAGGGCCGAGCGGCCCCGCCCCTGTCGCCCGGGCAGCGCCGCGCCGCCCGCCGGGACGTGGAGTCCGCGCCGCCCCGCGCGGGGCCGGAGACTACAACTCCCGAGCCCCCGCGCCCGCGCTGCGGTGCAAGCGTGGATGGCGCCCCGACTTCGGGGGACCTGAGCGCCGAGGGCTGAGCCGTGGGACTCGGGTGGAGGCTCTGACTCCGAGATGCCGATAGTCCCGCGTACCCTGTTCCTGCGGTGGAAGCTTCGGGAGGCGGGAAGCTCCGGGGCTGCATCGCTGTGATTGCCATCGCGTACAAGGCTGGTGGAAGCCTCCCTTCGCCGCTGGGCACATTTTTGCAGCCTGGACTGTCCGGCAGTGAGACTTTCGGGAGCCTCCCTCAATGTGGCCGGGCCTGCCTCTCTGTTCTGGGCGAGGTGGGTCCGCGGAGAAGCGAGCACAAAACCTTGGCTGTTAAGTTTCAAGCGCCTTGGATTTGGCTTATGCTTCCCCTCCGCCCAGCAAACCCTGGAGGAGGGCTACTTTCATCAGATACTTTTTTTTTTTTAATGTTTATTTTTGAGAGAGACAAAGTAGGAGTGTGGGAAGGGCAGAGACAGAGAGGGAGACACAGAATCCGAAACAGGCTGCAGGCTCCGAGCTGTCAGCACAGAGCCTGATGCGGGGCTCGAACTTGGGACCGCTGAGATCATGACCTGAGCTGAAGTTGGACGCCCAACCGACTGGCCCATCCAGGCGCCCCCAGATACTTTTTATTTTCAAGGTACAAGTACACAAAGTACTGTCAGTGTCATGTTTCCCGACTGATGAGCGCTTACTCGAAACAAGGCCACAGAGATCAGTGGATATCTATGGTCACACATGGCCAGGTGTTGGTAAGAGAGGCAGGCTGGAGACCCAGAGCAATCTGGGAAGAGGAAACAGGATAGCGTGGGAATAAATTACCATTGGCTTCACCAAAATGTACAGGCCAAGGGTGCCTTCCTGGACATTCTTTTCATGATAAAAAAAAAAAAAGAGTGGGAATACTTCTTTTTCACATACCCAAAGGGAACAGAGGCCCAGGCTGCCAGGAATAGGGGAAGCTTAGGTGTGGCAGCACTGGTGAGTTGAAGGTAATGTGCAGAAACAGGGGCCCTGTACTGTGGGGAAAATGGAGATATACTGGGAAAGGGCTTGAAGGAGCAACCTTTTTTTTGACCCAGTGGAAGGTAAAAATAGAAACAGGAAATCTGTGGGAGAGCCCTTTTCTGAATTGCAGCAGGACAAGTAGTTAAAGCAGGGCCAATAAGTATGGCTGTGCAGAGAAATCACTGTACAATGAAATCACTGGCTGAATGGACTAGTGGGGTATAAAATACAGTTCACTTTCTGGCCGCCATGTTCTGTGCCCCAGAATACAGAGGTGCCTCTTGCTAATTCACAGAGAAGCACCACCTTCCTGCCCAGGTGTGTTCCCATTGGAGCAGACACCTTCTTTTCACCTGCCCAATGGTACTGTGAAACCTCAGCATTTCCTACCTCATTGGAAGTTTTGCAAGTCTTAGTCAACACTTAACTACACTCAGTTGAGCTGGGTTTGAGTTGCTGTCCAACCGTTATCATGGGAAGACCTGAGAAGCTACTTAGGTCCTAAACTGGCTGTTCTAATGTAAAGTAGAGGTAAGACAAGCACTCTAGAACTGTGACCGAGACAGATTTTGGCTTAATATGACAATCTCAGTAGTCCCTAAAGTAGAATTACCCCAAGACAGGACTCCCTATGACAGAAGGGCTCTTTGTGTGTAGTCGGTAGGGAGGAGTCACTTATCAGAAAACAAGTGGGACCAGACATCTTTAATAGTCCCTTCTAGCTTTAATGCTACGTGAGTCTAGTTGTTATGCTCCAACCAGGACAGTTCTTAAAATAGTCAAGGCAAAGCAAGAGATGAGATTTCAAGTGCTGATTTGGTGGTGCTGAATGACTTTAGGGCAGGCATTTAATCTGTACTTCTCTTATGTACACAAGTGATTTCAAAACTCTTGGCAAAAACAGTGCTGTAAAAATAGTTAAGTTTATTGCTCAAAAAGAATACTGTTTTTGAAAAGTACCTTTCTTCCAGGATTTTCAAATAATTTGCACACTTCACTTCATTAATCCATCCACACAGCAGAAACATTGGAAATGAGGAAACAGAAGAACAGATGGCTTGTTACACATTTAACACCACAACTCAACCAGTTGAGCAACCAACCTCTCATCTGGTGGCACTGAGAAGGCAAAGGAGCCATTTACTCAGGTTTTTACTTCTAGCGTCACTCTAACTACTGGAGAAATTTGGGGTACGTGCCTATGGCGTCTTGGCCATCTGATTTCCCAGGGACAGGGCAGGAATTCAATGAGGGGGCTTAAAATGTTTCAAATAATTGTCAACATTCCATGCTGATTCTCCCAGAAGGCTCAGAGGTAGGAAGAGAATTGTCCTCCTTCCTCTTCCTATATGCAAGGGCCTCAGTTACACTTGGGAACCGGCTGGGGATCCACTACTCTACTATCCACGCATCCTGGCAAATGCACAGCAGGCTGGATAGTCACTACCCCAAACGGTTTCTTCCAGCCCCACAGGCTGATCTCTAGTTGGCAGTGTCTTGCAGAGTGGATCATGAAGGTGGAATGCCCCTTTCAGAGTCTCATCCACAGGGAGAAGTGTTTGTTATTGCCCACATTGGTCCTACCGGCTGGCCAAGCTCCACAGACTCCTACACTCAGTACAAAAAGCTTTACGTTCTTCTTTTCCATTCTTGCATTACATTCTTCAAAGACTTCTATGCTTGCCAACTGGCTAGAACTCAAACTCTAGTGTTTACTCTTATACAGCCGAAAGCCCCTAAAAACTCCAGATTCCTTCTATTTATAATATCAGCCATCATGGCCCAGGAAACACAAACCCTTAAACTCCAAGGCCTACCCTCGGTAAGAACATTCATGGGCGTGAGATAGGTCTATGAGGCTCCCAGACTTTTTTTTTTAGACAGCCAAAAAAGTACCTAGTCAAATTAGGATTGATTCTGAAGCAGCCTGCCAGAAAGCTCCAGTTAGTCCGACATGGTTGCCACTGTACCAAATAGCCATGGCAGACCTCTCTGTGACATCTCTAGAGCCCATGGGAAATGCTCTGGAACATGCTCCTTGATGGCGAAGCACTGATTTTTGAAAACTGCCGGAAGATGTCTGGAGGCAAGTCTGGTGAATACACTAGATGGTGCCAGTACCATCATGGAGCCCCGCTGAGGGGTGGCAACAAGCAAAGAGCCTGAGCTAGAAGGCTGTCAGCTGGTAGAAGGCCATCACCAGAGAAGCATTTCAGGCACATCTGGAGCAGTGGCAGCAGCATCACCAACAGGCCTCCCCTAGAGGACAACCTCTCATTTCAGTACCAGACTTAGTGGTTTCTAGTCCTGCTGCTTAAATTAGCTAAGAGTTAGGATGCTTTCTTGGGTGGAAAATATGAGTCTCTTACCTGAGAGTGTGAGGATTACATGACAAACACATAAAAGGTCACAATAGGTACACACTTCCCTTCTCACAAACAGGAATGGAGGCTAAAATTTCAGGTGCCATGCCCCCAACCTCTTCTTCTGGTCTTGTTTCTAAATTCTGTAATAAATCCGTGAAACAGGCCATCCAGTTGTGAGAAGACAGATGCAAAAAGTATTTCCAGACTAGGAAGCCTAAGAGTTCCAGTGAAATCCTATGTCCAAGTAGGAAGGTCAGTTGAAGAGCTGGAAGACTAAAATCCCCAGTCCTCTGAGCTGCAGGAAGATTGGGGATAGAGTATGGCACAGCCTCCCTGACCTGGGAGGCTCTGGAGGGTAGTTAACATTAGAAGTCAAAAGGCACTTCCAGCCAGGCTGAGTTAAGTAGAGGGCAGACTTTCTCCTCTGAAAGTAGAACCGAGCCCAGGACTGGCAAGTTAAGGCATTTAACCTTAGGCCAGCTCTGTGGGTCAGGAACCTTCTGGTCCCTGGCCTAACTTATCCACCTCACTCACCTTCCCAGAATTCCTCCAGTACTGCAAGCTGTGGCTTGCTAGATTCTAATGATGTAGTTTAAGTAGCTGCCTTGCCCCATTCCTGAGGCGGTAGATTTTCAGGGGTGTAGGGCACAAACCAACAGTGCCCTCAGGTGTCCTTTAAGAGAAAAGCTGCTGAGATGGAAAGGCCAGACTAATCTTGAGACCCTGATGTAGAGAAACCCCCAGGGCAGGGGGACTTTGGTTTCAAGAAGTCTTAGTGTTCATGGGCTCACTTAAACCCCATACTTCAAGTCACTGAGGTCAGGTCAGTTGCTGGAAATCTGAAGTGGCTTGGAACTGCAGTGCACAGGATGTCTTGTGGACTTCTCAGATCTCAACCTAACCCTGCATTAGGGAGAATGTTCACTGAGGTGAAAGCAGTATTTCTAGGATCTTTAGTCTAAGGATCTCAGTTTATATACTCTTGGGAGATAGGAAAGGAAAAAGACTGAGGCAGGGGAAGGGCAGAGGAAAGAGGCTCATTTTACTGCCCTTTGGGCCTTTTCTTCTTCCTCCTCCTCCTCCTCCTCCTCCTCCTCCTCCTCCTCCTCTTCTTCTTCTTTTTTGCAACTACGGCTCCCAATAGGCAATTATTGCTTATGTTGAATTTCCCTTTGTATGTACATGCAAGACTGTTATATCACATTGGGAGAGTCGTTTCAAGCTTGTTTTGCTGATCCCTCTCTAGCCTGAGCAGAGGATGGTCTGTTCACAGCTGGGGAGGCTGAAAACTGGAATCCTGTAGCCATAACCAAGGCAGGTTGTGCTGCAGGGAACCCTTGCAGTTTAGTTCTGCCATCATCTTCTAGCTCTATCTAGACAGTGCAAAGCAGGGGGGTCTGAGAGGAATCTGCAAAAGCCATGCAATCTGCAAAATGAAAATCTCCCACTTCACTGGTATCAGAGTAAGTGGGAGAGCTTGTCCACAAGGTAGACCTGCAGAACTCCCCACCTCCACAGTCCTGAGCAGTTGGGAGGTGCACAGTCATATTGGGAGGTAGGGTGGAACTCATGGATTCTGAGACCAAAAGAGGAGAGAATGGAAAGAACAAAGAAACAGCTGAAAAAAAAAGACCTAGGAAAACGTGGATGGAAGTGAGAAGCTAGGAACAAAGGAACCATGAAGCAACAAACACAGTTCAGTGAGCTGGGTGGAGTGCAGCAGCTAGCTGTCCTATGGCATCTGACCTCAGTAAGAAAGCAGCATGTTACCACAAGCTATTATAAACCTCAGTTCTCCCTGGAATCTCTGCTTCCAGGACACCAAGCTAGCCAAACAAAATTTTTGAATTCCAGAATACTAGGCTGGTCAAATGGGCCAAGATACAACAAAGAATGGCTGCAAAGGAGGTGGCCAGGCTTGTCCCTGCAAGACCTTATTCCTATGGATGTGTCAGCTTGGGGTGTGTCAGTGTGTGCGTGTGTGTGTGTGTGTGTGTGTGTGTGTGTGTGTGTATGTGTGTGTCTCGAGATCAGTTCAAACTGGTCTTGGCACCCCCAAACCAGGAGTGAGCTCCCTGGGCAGTGAATCCAGCCTGGTGAGAATGCCTTCAGTCTGGTCAATGTCGGCTCTGGCGCTTTGCAATCTCCTCCTGGATGCGCAACTTGAGGGCCTCTCGCAGGGGTGGGTCCAGAGGCGTGTGTGCTGACACCTCCTCACTCACCCTTCCTGGATCATCGTCCTACGTGGAGGAAGAGTTGGGAAGCTCAGGGCCTGGCCTCTTCTGGAAGGGCGACCTGCCCTGTCCCTAGACAACACTCTCACAGAACTCCATTTGACTCACAGCTTCTTGCCAGTGCCTGTCATTTCCCAGGTGTCCCCTGTAATAGTGATTTTCACCTGGGGGCCACATGCCCTCCCTGTTGCCCGCTGAGAATCACTGTGTGACAGGCGTGAGTTGTGCTCAAAACATCACCCAGCAGTCTATGCTCCTAACTGGAGCCGACACTTCCCACTGGCCCTGAGGAAAACAGTGGCTCAGGCTCTGGCAGTGATTTCTAGCATGGCCCAGGACCTTCAGGCTGCAGCTGCTTCCATGAGGCATACCTGATACACGATAACTGAGGTGACCTCTCCGCTGTCTGCCTCATATTCTAAACAGAAGAGCTGATGGCCAGAAGGCTCTGGCTCGGAGCTGCCACTACTGCTGCTTTCACCGGATTCCTCACAGTCTGGATTGCTTGGGTGGGTAGAGCCATCTGGAGGGATGAATCACAGTGAGAGGGAAGAGGGGAGGGCTGTTGGAGCCCCTGCCCACATGTGTGAAACATGAAAACATACCATAAAGAAAGTCCCAATCTTCCTATGGACCCTGTATGTGTGTGCATGTATCAAGTGTGCTACCAATCAGTAGTTTCCTTTACCTTTGTATCCTTGCTCTGGGGCCAGCAGTCTTGTCACACACACAGTAGATATACAATGTACGTCACATAGTAGATATACAATGTACCTTCGCAGGAAAGTAGTGGAGAGGTGGATACAGCCCTGCCTGGGTTCAAATACAGGCTCTGCCATTTATTAGCTCTGAGATCTTGGGCAAGTTACTTAATCTCTCTGTGCCTCTTTCCTCACTGTGAAACAAATGATAATAGTTTCCGACTTATGATATCGGATGATATCATATCGAATGATATCGAATGAACATACCCAAGATCTAACGCTAAACAAATTTAGTAATGCTAAACAAATCTAGTGCCAAGTTAGGTACTGTTATCTCTAGGTATCTGGGAAGCTTGAGAAATGGCTTTTATTGTTTTTCTCTAAAGAAAAAACCATTTTAAATACTGACTTTTGAGTTTCATTCCACAAGTATGTCCTGGTCAAGTACAGCTGTGCCAAGCTTTCTCTCCGTCACAGGGTGAGAACTCTCAAGTATAGCATGGTGGGCAAACCAGTAGACAAACAACTTCTTGCCGGCTCCCAGGTATTTCCTGTAATAGTGATGCTTAACTGGGGGCCATGGAGCCTTCCCTGTTTTCAGGGAGATTCAGGGAGCGGAGAATGGGGAGCGTCGAGGTGGGGGTTCCGGGAAGGGACGACATGAACTGAGCCTTGGGGAATAAAAAGTGTTTTTTTTTGTTTTGGTTTTTTTTTTCCATTTA